TTTTTTTTTTGTTAAAATATCCTTAAAACTATTTTATTCATGTATTCTAATCTAAGTGTCAGTAAATATCATGAAAATTATCCATTTATGCGATTTTGCAAAATCACGGTTCCGAATGTAGTCGGATACCTTAAGTGAATAATAAAATTTCTAAACCTGCTCTCAAAAATAAATTTAGAACTAAAGCCTTGTTCGTAACATTTACTATGAAAATTAGCCTGTTGGACAACATAATAAATCTAGAGCAATTCGTTGGAGTCGTCGTCCGATTACATCTCGTCTTCTGTAGATACGGAGCTCTCAATTCTTCGCTACTTTCAATAGCTCAACATGAAAAGCCTATTCGATTCTGTACTCTTAACGTGGACAATGGATTACTAACTTGCCCTTGTCTCCATAAATGAGCACCTTTGTTTCTTGTTCTATCCAGATATTATCTGCAACAGGTTTCTGTGGAGAAGAACTGATGGGTGTTAGTATGCCAAACTTGAAAGTTAAACAACTTGACCCAGGCCACGTGAACCTACTTAAAAGAGCCTATTGTTATGCGTTATTCATTCCACCAGTATTGAGCCTTAGCATTTAGATTCATTGCTTGGTCTCGTTCTGTTTGAATATGTATACTGTACTCGCTATGTCTTTATATTGCTTGGAATTTGACGTCGGCATGTGCGTGAATTAAAAATTCTAATCACTGATTATATAAAAGGTTCTTATGAAGCTTTATGTCTTACCGCTAATTGCGTAATTGGAATCTTTTCGTTCTAAAAGTAAAAGATAAAATGGGTGAGCGCCTCGATCAAGATCAAGGTCGTACATTATCATGCAATGTCAACTATGTTCTAGATAAAGTTTTGTCCTTTCCTGTTCTGCTGTTATGTCCGGAAGTTTATTCTATTCTGGTTTCATTTGTGACAGCAATCCATAGAAATAGTTTTTTTTTAAAGTATGGAGATAAAAATGATCTTAATTTGGGTGAATATTACGTAACAAAACGCATTTTCAGTGTTTGTGTGGGATGTTGGATTTTAAAGGTCTTTCTTTAAAATTGCCTTCTTATTTATTTAATTTTTTTAAAAATAAAAATATGAGCTACTCGGAGAATTTTTAAGTCTGAATTTTTTAAATTTTGATACTGATCCGTAGACGTTTTTGTTATTACGATTAATAATTTATTTATACACTTTTGGGGATCATTGATTATTAATAAATATCAAATGTAGTTGAATTTCTCTTTGTTAGTAAGTGCAGCTTCTTATTTTATTTACAAATTTGATATCGAATCGTATGGTAGAATGAAGATTGAATTATGACGTTTGACTAAAATAATGTACATAATATTAATGTTCGATTTTACATGCATTACTATTTTTAAGTTGGAATAACTGAAGCTTAACTATGGAAACTCCTCTGAAGAGTATCATAGGTTGTTA